CTTATATAGACTTGCAAATTTGCCAGTTCGCAGTTACCACATTTGCATTTATATAGATTCGCAGGTATAAAATTTAAAATTATTCAGTTGCCCCTCAGTTAGTCTACCTCCACCATTAATGAGTCGTAAAACCCACCCTTACACTAAGGAGTTTACCTTAATATAATTTTTTTTTAAATATTTTTTGAAAAAGTTTGAAAAAACCAAATTTGAATTTGAAAAAATTTGACAGTAATTTGAATTTAAATTTGAATTTTGAAATCGACAAATTTTAACCACTTCAAATTTGATTATACATTTTCAAAAATTCAAAATTGGGATTAATTCAAATGAATTCGCCCGAGCTTAATGTAGATATTAATATAACACAGCCTTTTATGAATTTTATTTTACTGGCAAAATAAATAAATTGAAAAAAAAAACAAAAAAAGACACTCTTAATTCTTTAGAACATTTGTGTTGCTTATATATGCTAGAAGGATAATTTATTCAACATGTATACAACTTAGCTCAGTATATTTATGATTCATCATTATATTTGTCGATTGATAAAATGATTTGTCAATCGACAAATATAATGGAATAATTCTATATATATATATATATATATATATATATATATATATATATATATATATATATATATATATATATATATATATATATATATATATATATATATATATATATATATATATATATATATATATATATATATATATATATATATATATATATAATATATATATATATATATATTTATATATATATATATATATATATATATATATATATATATATATATATATATATATATATATATATATATATATATAATATATATATATATATATATTTATATATATATATATATATATATATATATATATATATATATATATATATATATATATATATATATATATATATATATATATATATATATATATATATATATATATATATATTAGGAGTAGTCATTTTTAGAATATTTGAAATTTAAAATACCATACCTTCTAGATTTGGGGCAAATGTTTAAAAAATAACTCTCAAGAAATTTGAGCTTATCGGGACCACTCAATTCTTTCATTCTAAGTATTTTTTAGAAAAAAAAATATCAAAGGCCATCGATTTCACAGTTCTAGGGGGAAAGTTTAATAAAACTTTGTAATTTTTTTCTAGGATTTTTACCTATATATTTGAGTAAAAATACATGGTTTTCTATTTTTTTTACTTGTAATTGAAAAAAGTTACAATATTTGATAATATGATTGCATAACAGACAAAAGATTATAACTTATTATTTAGAAAATACTTTTTATTAATAATGTCAATCTCCAATAAAAAATTTTTTCTTCCATAAAAAAAACTTTTGTTTATGGAAGAATTCGTGGTTCACTATTTAACACAGTTGTCCACTCAGTTAGACATATATGTAGTAGCATATCGAGATCATGACAAATTTAAGTGCAAAAAACTTATAGGTGTTTTAGTAAAAATATACGAAGTACAATCATTGATCTTTGTCAAAAAGTGATAACTATGTGTGTGAAATAAAGAAACAACAAAGTTGGGAATATAACAAAACCAAAGTATCTAAAGTAAAAGCCTAAAGTAACCCAAAGTACAATATATTGGTCCCACTTGTTGTAATAGTAAATTACATTTAAATAACTATTTAAAAACCTTGATTTTAGATTAGTAAAAATTAAGTAAATCAATTTAAATACATATAACAAGAAACAAGATAGTCAGAAAACATGTGATGAAAGGAAACTAAGATCTACAAACACTATTCATTATCAAAGAAGCAAATAATAAAAGATTATAGTCAGTTTTGTAATTAATCCCTTACGCAGCAAAGTAAGCAAAATTTTTTACTTCTTCTTTTTTTTAATTATGGTTGTGAGATTCCAACAGGAATGGAAACTCTACAACATATATCCTCAGGGCCGTCCCGAAGTGGTCTTCCATGGGGGGGGGGGATGTGTATGTATTTTTTTGCAATTTGCCAACTATAGTTATAGTAACTTACTTACTTCTTTTATAGCACTTAAAAATACTTAAAATAAAAATCTTTTTAGTGCTATGTAACATTCTTTTTATTCACTTACTACTTCTATTTCTTCTTATTTACTTACTACTTCTATTTCTTCATATTCACTCACTACTCCTATTTTTTCTTGTTCACTCACTTCTTCTTTTTCTTCTTATTCACTCACTACTTCCATTTCTTAATCACTCGCTATTTATATTTCTTGTATAGATAAATTAAACTAATAAGTGATGAGCTTTTATCATTTTTAGTCAACAGAGAATACCAGAAAACAGAAAACTCTCACACACTGTGAAAGAAAGAATGGTCACACACTGTGAAAGAAAGAGTGAAAGAGTTAAAGAGTTAAGATTGACAAAAAAACTTGTCGTCGATCATCATGCTCGTCGTTCGTCATCCTCGTCGATCGTCATCCTCATTGTTCAATCAGAAACCTCATCGTGCAATTCTGATTTTGATCGTGGAGAATGGTTTAAAAGAGAGTCTTTTCAAAAAGTCTTTGCTAAAATACCAAGAAAGTTTTTGCTGGAAATGTAGGTCTTAAGGCTATAATGTTTTGCGCTAAGTTACAAGTGCAACATATGCTTATTAATCAATTGGGAGCAGATCAGCAGATTTCAAATGTAGCCAGTCAACAGCAGCTAGAAAAATAATATATACTAATCATAATATAAACATGATAGCATAAGAAAATGTTCAAAAAGCAATGAATGAATCCCCATACCCATACAGAGTACATTTTGAATGAAAAACATTAATCGAACTAAACAAAAGAAAAACAATTAAAAATGATAGACTTGCTGTTCATGTAAATATTGAGGAATATGTACATAAACAGCAATTAAATAAGACGGCACCTTTTTTGAGTAGCTACTATACCATCAATCTCTGGTGAAGATCATTTAAATAGTGTAAAAGACCTTCTAAACGAATACATTTTTTGAGTAGCTACTATACCATCAATCTCTGGTGAAGATTCTAAACATTTTTGAATCAAAAGTAGGAGGCTTTGTTTTATTTCTACTGTAAGTAAAACCACTACTACTATTACTGCTACCACTACTGCTGCTACTACTACTACTACTACTACTACTACTACTACTACTACTACTACTACTACTACTACTACTACTACTACTACTACTACTACTACTACTACTACTACTACTACTTCAAACTGATTTAAATAAAGGTTCCTTAATCAGAATATCAAACATAATGGACAAATATCTTTTACTTATTGAATGCAGGCACCATGAATGTGAATTAAAAATGGTTCATTTTTTGTAATTTAGTCTCAGATGAGCATTTAACAGGACTAGATAATCATATGTTTAAAACTAAAATCAGTGAAAAACCTTCAGTTACAATCAAACAGAATTGCTAAAGTTTGATTGGAAAGCGGTTAGGGGGGGACCTTTCTTTAGAAGGCTGCACTAGAATCAAGAATACTTTACAAAGGGAAAAGAAAAAAAGTTATCGTTAGAAAATATAGGAAAAAGCATGCAGAACTTTTATTGAGTTACCACTCTCCATCTTTAGTAAAACTAAGAAAACCCGAAGCAGTTCATCATGCTAGTTCTCTGTCGAAAGGATTGTACTATTTAAAGCTACAACTTATTTCCAAATTCAAATCAGAATAATACACTTATAACAGAAAGTAAGCTAATAAGTAAATATACAGTTTATTTTATGCTAATGATGCTATAAGAGCTCCTTTTCTTTATATAAAAGCAATACACCAGATGCAACAGTACTAAAAACCTTGTGCCAAACCAGATGCTGTTGATGCAGTTTTAAACTCTCAAACGTGGTCGGTTTTTAAATTCAACAATGATTCATTTTGGTCTATAAGATGATAATGTCATTAATGGAGAACACAAATATTTTAAAACTATCTTATAAAATCCTAATATCAATCTGGTATAAAACTGAAAACAAACCAAAAATATATATTAAAAATAAAATCAAAACGCAATAGAAATAAGCGAACATCTTCTTCCCTTGCTCTTTTGATTAAAGAGTTTTCATATCTTTTGTTTGATAAAACTGGGTTGGAGGAACAAAGGATAAAAGATTGTCTTTCGCTTCCTCCCTGCGTATTGGTATACTCAATCCGTATATAAAAGCTTTCAAAAATATGCAAGTCTTTCATTCAGAAAGACCTTTTGGCATAATTCAGCAATTTGTTCACCAATAAAATAACGAGAAAGATAAACAGAACGCATTGCTAACTGTTAAGAAAGTAATATATGGGTAAAAACAAACATCCTACAAAAAAAGTTACAAACTTTTTTCATGAAACTTTCCCCGTAGAACTGTGAAATCGGCTATTTTAATAGTTTTTGGGTTTTTTTTTCTAAAAAACGTTTAGGGGGTAAGGATCGAGTGGTCCTGATGAGCTCAAATTTTTTGAGTTATTTTTTTAATATTTTCCCCAAATCTAGAGGGTATAGTATATTAAATTTGCTTACAACAATCTAATCTAAATTCTTATTTTTAAATTTAATCTAAATTCAACAATCTAATCTAAATTCTTATTTTTAAAATAATAAAGATGAGAATTATGTTTACAGGATTGCTGTTACTAAAAATCCATTCTTAATGTCAACTTTCTATGAATCCATTTTATTTACAATCTATTGATATAAACAAGCATAAAGTCAAATATAAAATAAAGATAACAAACAAGGCGTATAAACAAAATTATATATATATATATATATATATATATATATATATATATATATATATATATATATATATATATATGTATATATATATATATATATATATATATATATATATATGTATATATATATATATATATATATATATATATATATATATATATATATATATATATATATATATATATATATATATATATATATATATATATATATCTGTTTATTATTCTATGATTAAAAAAATATGCATACTCTTTAGCTAGTCAATATATGTAATCTTAAATAAATCGATGTCAGAAAAATTCTACAACTTTACATTATCATTACTTCTCCTGTTTCTTTTTATAAAGAATTGAAAAAGTTTGATCTTTTTAAGATGATTTCTAAAATATTTGTTGAAATAGCAGTTAGTCAACGCATTTGATATTGCTGATAATTTAGAAAACAATGCGCATAGGGTATATATAACACTTGGGGATTTTATTTTGAAAACTGAAAGTAAGCTGGCACCTGCGTATGGAGTCCAAATTACAAAGTAAAAAACGGCAGACCATAATGCTAACTTTAAGTAAACCATTTCTAGTACATTTCTATTTTTACCAACCTGAGCTCTCCGAACAGTGGAGCTATCGACAACTGTTCTCTTTATTGCAACGTAGGCAAAAATCAATGCAATGACAGGTATAAAGTAGCAAAATAAAAATAAAATTATTAGATATGATAATGAATCCAAACGCGTCAAATTCCAATCAAATGAGCATCGCTTTTTATCTAAATCCACTTCATACTTTGACCATCCAATTAACGGAAAAGTGGGCCATAACAATCCATAAAAATAACAAAAAAACAATAATATTAGTTTCATCTTTATTGTTTTACAATACTTGATGTAAAAGAAGGGCCATTTTACTGCAATTACTCTCATTATTGATATTATAACAGTTTGTAAAATATTAGAAACTATAATAAATACTGTTAAAAAAGATGCTCCGATGCAAACAAAATTTTTTTTCAAAGAGTATACTCCATATAACATGAATAGTTCCGCAACATATCCAACTAAGGTATGAATTACGTCGGATATTGATATGCTTATAATAAAAATGTGCGGCAGTTCGGTCACTTTGATCTTGTAAATAATTATGTAAATTAAGATTGCATTTAATAAAGTTGATAAAATGATAATTGCAAGGACACACACAAAATACACTGTTACCAAAACATCCATTTTTCTGTACAACAGTATATTTATATCAATCTATCTATAAATATAATAACATATATTTATTTACTTACATTTCACAAATTTATGTCCGCAAAAGTCTTTTGTCCACGTATTCATTCATTTTTTTTTTTAATGCAAAAATAGATTATATAAACATTATAAAGTAGAATATGTAAACTTTAAAATTCACGAATACACACAAATAAAAGTAAAATATAAAATTATGAATGTATATATATATATATATATATATATATATATATATATATATATATATAATATATATATATATATATATATATATATATATATATATATATATATATATATATATATATATATATATATATATATATATATATATATATATATATATATATATATATATATATATATAGTCTCTCTCTCACACACACAAACACATATACACACACTTTCTTCATAGTAGCATGGTATGTAAAACTATGTTTAGTAAGTATATCTTATCTGGTGCTTTAATTTTATGGAAAAGTTTAAAGATCTATTTATTGTAATTCTATTTTTTGTATTGATATTTATAAGACAATCGCTATAAAAGTATTTTAATATTATTATTATTAGCCACATTTTTTTTAATTAAATTTTTTATGAAAATAATATTTAAATATGCTATTAAAATGTTTATTATTTGATTGCTATCGTTTTAGAAGCATATACAATAAACATATTGCTGTATTCAAAGCCTACTTTATTTTTATTTATATAAAAATTATATAAAAAACAAAAACTAAAAAAAAAAAAGCATAAAAAGGTTTTTACATCCGTTTTGAAGATTTGCATTTTAAAATTTTATTTATTACCTTTATCAATAAAATGTTAAAACTCCATCTTGAGAAATAAAATATTCATAAAATTTACAATAAACAAGATAATGTTTAATATGATAATTTACAGCCAGCAGTATTCAAATAAATTTTATAATAAATCTCCCATTTTATATCTCCTTTTATATATCTTAGCTTCAAGATACCCATTGTTTTAAAATTCCATCTTGATAATAAAATATTCATAGTTTTGATAACAAGTTAAACCGTGAACGCAATTTACAATATAAGAAGTCTAAAACTAAAAATTTACAAAAAAAGAGGTCTAAAACCAAAAAAGTTCAAATTATTTTTATATTTCCAATGACGATACTTCAGTTTAATTTGTTTTGTTTTTAAAAATTTTTTTAAATTCATAAATTTGAAATTTAGAAAAATAAAATAAAAAAAACTTTTAAAAACAACAGCTTCTCAAGTTCAAATATTCTTCTTTATTAAGTCAAAATTTCTTCTATATTTCTTCTATATTTCTTCTATATTTCTTCTATATTAGCTAAAGCAGCAACTTTATTTTCTTAATTGACTTTTTACTTGTTTAGCAAAACTAAAAAATGAACATTTTTGTTGATTAACTTTATATAAAAAGAACTTTAATTTTGAAATTTTTTAAATCGGCTAGAAAAAAAGAAACAATTTTACAAATAGGCCTCATTTAATTTCTTCGCGGTAAGTTCTATTTTTTTGATAAAACCTTTCGCGTCAAACTCTCCAGAAATTGTTTTTTAAAAATTATAAACAATCGGTGTTTTTTATAGGTTACCTTCATCCAAGCAGATTTTACTGTTGAGCCAATTTTGCTTTAGTCGACGCTACAGTATTAGATTTGCAGTTGGATCAACCACTTTTTTGTCTTGGTTCACGCTGCTACAATGAATTTACAGTTGCTCCACCGGTAATATGAATTAATTTTTTAACAATAAAATACAGTTAATGTCGAATTGTCATGAATCAAAAACACATTGTTAATAAAACATTGTTGCACAACATAATCAGTTTATTATAGTTTGAGTAATCAATGGTTAAACTTCCAAAAAACTTTTTTTTCGGAAAAAACATATACTGATACTTTTTATTTCAAAAGGATGTAAAATTTGTCTTAGTTTTGTGTTTCTTAAATGGTCACTAGTCTATTAAGCATCAAGCTATTTAAGCATCAACCACTGGTCCTTAAAGAATCAAACCCGACTCGCAGAAAGATAGCATAGAGTATGCGGACAAACTGGCCAATGATCAGTCTGTCCACATTACTCTATACTGTCTTTCAAACTTGATTACATTCAACTTTTATCAAATATTTTTTTGTTCTTCTTTAAACTCAGTTATCTTGGTTTGTGGAGGCAGGCTTAATGCGCATCAGCGAGCTGAACTGTTTTCATCGGATCTTGGTAAGCGGCCTCCAAGTGTAATCAAAAGTTATTTTGACTTCCCTAGGAGTCCTCCAGTTATTGGCAATTAGCTGCAGAACGATAAACTACAATATTAAAAAAAATTTTTGTAAGTGAGTGAAATTTTTGTTTATACATAAAATTCGAGTTTAGAGGCCAACCTTGTTGCGACATAGTTTTGCAAATTTCACTGTTAAAGTACAACCATTTGCATATGCAAATATGCAAATGATCAAAAGAAAAACTTAGAATGATCTTATAAATATACTTTTATATAAAAACTTTTATGGGCAAACATAATAGAGCAAGGTTTAGTATAAAAGTATATTTTTAAGATCATTTTAAATTTGTTTAACATGTTAAATAAATTTAGAAACACAGTATAAATTAACTTATTTTTGTTCAATAATATTCTCTAAGAATTTTAATTTGTGAAACTTTAATAACATTAGAAAAATTAATAAGCCTGATTTGATTTGCTAGCATTTTTTTAATATTTCACAGTAATGAAAATGTTTTTATGAGTAATTTTTGAGATTCATGCAAATTGGATTTTATTCAAAAAAGTTGTTAATGCAAATCTAATGTAATGTGCAAAAAAATTCTCCAAAATAAAATCTAGAATTATTAAAATAAATACGAAAAAACAACTAATATATTTTTGATAAATAAGAATGCCAAAAGTAAAACAACCCGAAACATGTAAATTGACACAAGATGTAAGGAAACATTCCGATTTTAAGACTGATGGAATAATTCTATTTTGCAAGCAGTACAACAATTCTGTTTCAGCAGAAAAAATCTTTACACGTTAAAAACGCCAAAAAAAAGTTGTATTAAGAAAAGTACGTGATTAAGTCTACACAGAAATTAATTAGAGAAACAAGCAGTTTTATATGATACTCGATACTTGGGAGGGTATAAGATACTTGGGTGGCGCTTTGCAGTTGCTAATATACAGCCATATAAAATTTGTAACGTAAATTTTATAGATTTCATATAATAGTATTCGGAGCAAAAAAGTTCCGTTTAAAAACACTTATTACGCAACCTTGTTAAAGAACTGAGTGAAGAGTTTGAAAGTAAAAAACTGTATAAACCTTGTATTGAAACCATTGAAATAAAGGTAGCATTTGTTATTTATGGATGCCAACTTACAAAACTTGATGCTGCTTAGAAAAAAATTGCAAATGTTATACTGGAGTTATTAATTTAAGATCAAAAAATTGCGAAACAAAATTTTTATTCAATTCAAGCAGACCTTGAGAAGAGTAATCATAACATTGCTTATTGCAAGAGTTCTAGGTAAGTTCTAGGTAAGTTCTAGGTAAGTTCTAGGTAAGTTCTAGGTAAGTTCTAGGTAAGTTCTAGGTAAGTTCTAGGTAAAACTATCATTTGTGAAAATACTATTGGTTTGCATGAGTCAAATATACCGTCAATGATTTCGAAAAAAATACGCAACTGCTTTATTCATTGTATAAAGAGGAGGCGGCGGCTTCATCAAAATCCTAATAAACTATTAGATGGTTTTTCAAAAAAATTTGATTTACTGCTTGTTTCGTCAAATTATAGGTTTCCTAAAATAACGATTGCAAAATTGGAATCTTAAAAGGAACATAGAAACCACTCTATACGCAAATCAAAGTTGCCACTGATTTAATGATGCTGTTGGGGTAACTTTAATTTGTTTTCTTTTTTTTAAATTTTTTTTGTTTTAATTTTATTTTGTTCTTTTCTTATTTAACATTTCGGTAAATCGTTTTACTATAAAATTGTTAAGATAAAAAAATTCGTAACACAATAAGGAATAAGTAAAAGATAAAATAAATATATAATTATTTAATTTAAAAAAGAACGCAGAGACTCGCAGAAGACCAATCAGGACTTGTCATCGTGAACCATTCAATAAAAAGACCTGATTACTGAAAACCGCAAGTTAAAAACCTCATAAAATTCCATACAAAATACATGCATTCATAAAATAATACTGCAAATATGGGCTTATTTAGACTATCTAAGCATTTTTTTATGTTTATTTAGCAACTGCACAAATCTTATATTTTTTTTATGATTTGCTATCTTATATTTATATGTTCTAAAAATAGATTTTATTTTAATAGCATAAAGGTTTGTGGGATTGATATTCGGACAAAGATTGCACAGAAACAATATAATCTCTTAAAAACGCAAGTGGTTGTGGGATTCATATTCAGACAAAAAACAATATGACGTCAACAAACGGACTAATGGGAAACAAATATATAATATAACCAATGATTTATTATATAATTTTAGATGTCTAACCTCAATCCGAAAAGTGAAGCCCCTTTTGCCCTTTTAAAAAATAGTGGATTAAATTTGTAAATAAATATTATTTAACTTTTCTTTTCTTAAATGAAGTAACATATTTTTAATGTAAATACTATTTATGTAAAAGTGTTTAGAAGAAATTATAATACTTGTAAAATAATAATATAAATTTTTAAACTCATTTCCGATTAGAAAAGGGATTAAAGTTTTGAATAGAAAAGTGAAACGACAGACGATTTTGAAGCATTTTTATGAATTATAATACCTTTCAATAAACCTAGGCTCATAAAAAAAAATTTTATAAGTATTTTATAATTATCAAAACGTGTTTTTGAATTATCTTTAATTTATTGAGAATTTTTTATGCGTTTAAATGCATTTTTAATATTTATTCTTCACATCGGCATCAGCTTTTGCCCTTTTTACAAATGGCGGACTATTTATTTACAAAAAAAAGCGGCTTCATTTTTCGTCCAATAAAAACCCGCAAATTAGACATCTAGTTTGTATAATATATCATTGAATATAACAATTGTATTTGTCCGATTTAATTAAGAAACTATAAAAAATGAAAATTAATCTACTATCTACATTATATAAAAATCTATGAAAGCAGCCTCTAACGCCAAAGATGTTCAGCTGAGATCAATGATAAAATATAAATAATGAATAAGCCTTAATGAATTTCATATTACTTTTGATGGTACGTTAAATGTTTGAAACCGAAAAAGTTTATAAGCAAATAATTCTTAACTCCTTTTTTTTTATTATGGTCCTTGGTTTATAAATTAAACGTTGTCATGCATTTTCTTTTAACTGATAATTAACGGCTTATTTTTTATTATTAGTTTTAGTCAATACTTTATTAATAATTGTTTATTGTTAATGTACTGCTACACAAATATTAAGTGATATAAATTAACTGACCGTTAGTACCCCTAACGGTCAGGTAATGTATATCACTTAATATTTTCGAAGCAGTACACTACCGATAGAAAAAAAAAACAAAACAAAAAGAACAGTTAGTTATTTTAAAAAGAACAAGTTATTTTCATATTAATAGAAACCAAAAAACCTTTCATTAAATTCGTAATTTATGTTAAGCTACGTAACTTTTAATTTTGTTGAAACGTTTTAGCTTTAACGACAATATAACAAGCAATAAAAAAAAATTACTTTTAAAATCGAAAATTTTAACTTGATGCGTATTAATAATTAAATATCAGTTTATAATAATAAAAAGTGTTATAGAATTATATGAGTCAATATGAAAAGAACACACTTTTTTCAGTCACAGTGTGGTTGAATTTATTTTTTATGGCAACAAAGCAGGGTCTTTGAGAGCGCCGTGGGCGTCCAGGTCAAAAAGTTAACCCAAGAAATTTCAAAGTTTCAAATTTTACAAATGCTGCAAATATCAATTTCTAACACAACACGTTCTGCGTTAGTATCTGTTCTCTAGATCAAGAAAGAAATCAAACCTTTGAACCAACAAATTAGTTTTGAATAAAAGAACAATAAATAATAGGACAATAAAAAAAACTTCAAAAAAGGTGAATAAAGTGCTTAAAGATGATTTTTTTGCGCTTTTCTGGCAGCTCAAACATCGATGACGTTGTTGTAGCTCACCTTTTACAACTTCTCCAAAATATTATTTTCTATGTATCTATTTGACTTTTTTTTGTTTATTTTGTCATTTTAAAAGTTTAAGAACAATATGCATGTAAAATTTATATTTGAATAAAGAAGGCAAAATTATAAATAAAAGTACTTTAAATAAATAACGATTCATTGATAGTTAAAGAAAAATTTCAAAAATAACATTGAGAATAGATTTTAAGAATAATATTTAAGATTAGAGGTAACACCATAACTAAGTTATATTTGATGCATTCTGGAATATGTATTTTATATGATTATATAATTATAATAAAGCAGCCGTGGCGCCTTGGAGCGTATTTGCCTCGTAAGAACGTAAGATCCGTGGTTCAAACCCCACCTCTGGGCAAGTGCGGCATCGGTTTGGAAGGAGGCGTGAACTTCCTATTAAATGTTCTTCCGCGGTGCTCTGTGATAAGACCATAAGGACTTCTTGGGGTACCTAAATCAACTTAAAATAAAAAAAAAAAAAAAAGAAAAATAATTGAATTTTAGTTAAAAGAGGCATTTAAACTTGGATATATTAAAATCCATAAGTAATAATGCCTAATTTGATTCATTTTTAAACTGTACTTTACTAGTTTTTTTTTGTATTTGCATTTTTAGGAATAACGTTTTCTACAAATTATTGAATTGGATATGTAATTATTTTGAATTATATATAGAGAAAATGTAGTTATTATCTAAAAATTTTTTTGGTTGTTCATGAACAACTTGGTCAAAAAAGAATTGTAATATTCTATAAGATATTTTATGAGTCTCATCTTTGCTTTATACATGAACGTTAAAACTTAGTGTAAGTTTATCACATAGGTATTTAAAGCATCAAGTATACGCAGATGTGGCTCGCAAGGTGCAGCTCTATTAGCTCCAAATAAAACTATGCACGAGTGTTTATGTTTATAGTACAATTTATTTAGTTCTGTATGATTCGTACTCACCCTTGCAACATTACAATAGATAAAGCGAATACAAGATAAATATAAGTTTTTTAAAGATTCTTTGTTTAAAAATGGTTTAGTCTTATATATCGTAGCAATATTTTTTATATATTTTTCTCAATAATGCAAATATTCCTACAGGAGGGGTGGCGGTGACACTCCATACCTCCACCCCTACTCATCAAAGAATTTTTTATTCATTTAGTCCGTAAAATCGTATTGGCTCCCTTCCTCCACGTGACACATACTCGTATCGGCCCTGGTTTTAATATCTCATGTGGGAATAAAAAACGTTGAAGTCATCTTAAAAAAGAATACAATTATGTTCATTAGAAATAAAAAAGGTCTTAAAACAGAGCCCCGGGGAACCTCACAAGTTACGGCATACGGAAATGTTTGTTTTTGCTTATATCGTATAAATTGCTTTTTATTGGTCAAATAACTTTTGAACCAAAATAAGTTATTATTTTTTACTCTGTAGTATGCAAGTTTTATTATTAGTATATTGAGGTTTACAATATCAAAAGCTTTTGAGAGAACAATAAAAACTCCTAAATTAATGTATGTTGTTTGATTGAATATTTCAATCATTACAGTTGAGGTTTTTTTTTGAAACCAAACTGTTTTGAATAGAACATCGTTTTATAGTTTATGATAAATGATTAAATAACCTGTTACACATTATTCTTTGAAGCAGTTTTGAAAAAAAAGTAAGGTAGTTAGAGATATTTGTGTAAAAACCGGCGTGATTCGTGCAACTCTTAGGTTCTCTCATTGTTTGTTTATAAAATGCCTGAAAAAATTAGGCAATTTGTAAATTGGCTGATTCACTCACTCACTTAAAATAAAAATTTTCGGACATTTTACAAATTACCTAAAAAAAATTAAAATATTTATGACACTATTTGAAGTTATTTTCAAGTTGGTAAGAAAAGGTAATGAAAGGCTATTATATATATATATATATATATATATATATATATATATATATATATATATATATATATATATATATATATATATATATATATATATATATATATATATATACACACACACACACACACACACATATATATATATATATATATATATATATATATATATATATATATATATATATATATATATATATATATATATATATATTGAAGTTTTACTAGAGGTTTTGTTTTTGAAAACTGATTTTTTATGTAGTTAAAATACAGTGCTATGTTTCTTTGTGTTGCAATAGCAAAGAAACAAAAAAAAACAAACAAAAAAAACAAACAAGGCATTTGTCATGGCTTTAAAAACTAAAGGAAAGGAAAGATGTAGAACTAACAAAATATTATTTAAAACTGTATTTTATTTCTTTTCACAATAATTTTTTTTTTCTATTATAAAATAATGGAAAAAATATGCTTAAATTTTAAAAAGTAATTGTTAAACGAGCAGCCGTGGCGCAGTGGTAGTGATGTAAATTTTCCAGTAAAATTTGATTTAAAATTTACCGATAAATTTTAAATAGAGGAGAGTAAATTTTCCTTTAAAAATTTTTTTTAAAAAAATAAAAATGAAAATAAATGAAAAAAAATTTTAAAATTTACCAGGCGGTAAATTTTACCTTCGCAACACTAGAGTTCTGACTAAGAACCCAGAGGTCCGAGGTTTGACGCCGGCTCTAGCCCAATAAGCGACATTTTTAAGGAAGGAAATTAAGCGTGAACTTCTAGTTAAATGCTCTTCCTTGTTGCTCCGTGATAAGACTGTAAGGACTTCTGGGAGCATCTAAATAACCTAAACTTCTGGGAGCATCTAAAGAAGAAATAAGAAAGATGCGCAAACAATAAATGAACATTGGATAATATAACAACTCTACAATATAACAACTTAAAGGATCGAAAGAAAAAAGTAAGAGATGCACTGCTGCACCTGGTGAAAGTTATGATTAAAAGAAGTAAAATCATAAAACATCAGTAAACAAAGGAGATAATTTAACAGTACCTTTAGTAGACCGTGGTTGTACATATTTAACTAATCAATTTGATGCATGTAGTCAAAAAATTTAAATGAGGTTATTAGTCTGAGAAGCGCTGTCAAATTTCAACCGATGTGGAGGACTACGTTTTACTAAATGCAACTGTTCAGGATCCAACAGTTGCATTTATTTAAATAGTTGCAAATATTTTAAAGCAAAGTTCAATTATAACAGTCGTTGTGACGCCAGCCTGGGTAGCCACAACAAAATATAATCATTTTATAACATTCATAATGTAATCATATTAACTAATATTTTTTGCTTTCGAAATATACACAAATGCTTAAATAAATTATAAAAAATAATTAGAGCACCGCAGAAGTGCATTTAACTAGGAAGTTCATGTCTACTTTCGTATCGATAAAACTAAATATGCACAGAACTCGCATTGAACCGTGAATCTTTTGCTTTTAAAGCGTTTTAGTCACTGCGCTACGGCTGCTTTACCTAATTTTAGAAACTTAGAACTATTTTGGGACAAAAAAAAGTTTCTGACAATCGTTTAGATAGGCAATCAAAAGTAGACAGAATGCAGTATTAACGACAGAACGCAAAAGAAATTATTGCAAAGAAAATTAAGAGTCATCAAGTCAGCTGTGCATCAAGCAATCATCAAGTACAAAGATTAAATTAAAATTAGGAATCTACAAATTTTATCTATTTGTTCGGTTTATAGGTTCACGTACATTGGTTTTATGAAAAATGTTGCCTATAATTCTTTTTACATAAAACTAGTTAGAGACTATCTTCTCAAACAAATCTCAAAAAAAAAATTTTCAACTAACCCCGCTTTACCCTCTACCCTACTCTCAGAATACTAGTAAAAATTAACATTCCATTTACAATATACAAGGGCTTGAAAGAAAAGGTTGTAGGTGAAAGAAAGAGTTGTAGGTTGTCACTACAATCATTGGCATTAAAGCTAAAGATTTTACAAATTTATTTTATATAAAAGTTTTTTTCAAAATATTATAATTGAGATTAATTTGTTAACGATGAAAATATTGCGACTTATAAATAATTAAAACTTTGAAAAATAAATAATAGTAAAATAAATAGCGCTTACAAATGTTAAAAAACGTTTATTTTTACGTTATAATTTAAAAAATAGCTAATGCTGCATTAAATATGACACGAATTTATGCGTATTATCAGAGCGTGACATTTGGGCTTACGTCTGATTAAATTTAAATGAGCAAATTAGGCTAATAGATCATTCCAAACTCTGATTCCCAAGCGCTTTTAAAACTATATAGTAATAATAATAAAAAATGACGTGTTGTAAAGCTCCAAAACAATATAGAAAATCCAGCTAAATTTCATTGAATGCTCTTGAAAGATCTGTAATACAGTAAAATTTAAAATTATTTTAAAACCATATTAAAAATTAAAGTTAATTAATACAATTAATTACAATTCTTTACAATTAAATTGTAATGAATTATCATCAAAATTAAATATTTAATAAAAATAAAATTTCAAAAAAACTTTGAAAACCTTCAAAATTGGCGCTTTTATATATATATATATATATATATATATATATATATATATATATATATATATATATATATATATATATATATATATATATATATATATATATATATATATATATATATATATATATATATATATATATATATATATATATATATATATATATATATATATATATATATATATATATATATATATATATATGTATATATATATATATATATATATATATATATTTCTATCAGAGAAATATTTGAAAATGGATCCTTGTGAGAAAACTTATGTTGAGGACTCTCCTTCAATCAAAAACATTCTACTATTAACTATTACATTAAAAAAAATAAAAAAATACTGTAACTCTTTCATTCAAAAAAAATTTAATTGGATTGAATTTCACAAGAGATATTTTATTCAATAAATTAGCCTAAATAAGCACATTTTGCTCCATGTAGGCTGAACAAGATAGATAAAGCTACAAATAAGTAAGTTACTATTTTTTTAAACAACCAACTTACCTGAATATTTAACATGTGTAGCGTTTTTATTTATGCCAGTCACCTTCAGCATGTATTCAACTACAAAAAGTAAAACAACAACAAAACATATTGAGTTTATATCAAAACATCATTATTTTAAGTTTTCATTCAACTCAATATTGATTGCTTAATGATTGAAAAGAAAAAATCAATAAAATAGTGATAATAGAAAAAAAAAAAGTAATTAAAAAAAAGCCTGTACCTGATAACCCTGTAAAAACCTTAATTACACTTTTTGTCTTTTTTGAAAATTAAAACAATTTTCCTTTGATATTTTTATTTTCCTTTCATACAATGAATAATTTGAACTAAATACCATGAATAGTTCAAATTACATACCTTATCTGAAAAGAAGGAATAAAAGCTTCCTTATTTGCTTAAATTCAGGAGATTACACAGGAAATGCAATTTTAATGTTTCATGTTTTGGTAACTATGATTTAAATATTAAATATGACTCAAAAATAGGTAGTACATGGCACCCTAAGCAATAAACAATATAGTTGCTTCATTCCCACTAATTAACCTTAAGTTATAACCAAGGACTCATTATGGGGCCTCAACAATGCACATTAAAATTAGTTGTTAATGAAACCAGCTAAATTTTGCGGAGAGCTACTACAGAGTTTAGGAAACCATACTTCCAGCTAACTTCAGAACCATTAAACAGAGTTTTAGAGCTGTAGCATCATTAGTAACAAAAGTAACAAAAAGCCAATATTAAGAAATAACAAGCAAAAACTGATGATTAAGAAACAATGTAACAGGTTTACATCTATGCCAACCTACTAAATAAAGAAAGGATACAAGATACTACCTCTAGCTTTTACTCAACCAAGAGCAAAAAGTGGGAAATATTTTAAGTAAGAGTTAACTTCTCCTAGCTTTTACCTAAAAAAGAAAGTCCTAGAAGGCAACAGGACATGTGGCAGGTTGTACTGACTATATGTTACCAGGAGTAGGTTGATCATGTTGATCATGAAGATCCTGATCCTAACCTGAAAATTCTAGGAGCTCCACCAGCTGATTTGAACTTTAAAAAAAATTCTTTATCTCATAAATAATAGTAGGTTGATGCATAATTACTGCGCGTTTTGTAGAGTCACTGTTTTAAAATCAAGTAGACTTTTTGTCCTGTTTTATAATTTTACCCTCCATCATATAACTTCCCTCTTTATAACTTTACCCTCCAGTACTTTATAACTTATTCTATGTTATAAATATAAAATTTGTTTTGAGCGAATTTTAATGTTTTGTCTATTAACAAATACTGACTTCAAAAAAAGTGCAATAATTATGGATCACCTAACAATATATCCATACTAATAGATATTCAAAAATGAGTGGCCTCCTTAACTGGCCCTCTAGGCCATGGAGAGATAAACTTAAAGTAAAGGATTTTTTTGTAAATTGCTGTACCCTATATATAAATAACTTATATTATATAGATTATATATTTATAGGGTAAAACGATTTACAAAAAATCTTTGACTTTAAATTTATCTCCCCAAGGGCTAGTGGTTGGTAGGGTGTTCAGTTGACAATGCCACTTATTTTTTTAATATCTATTAGAATGAATAAATTATTAGGTCATGCATAATTATTGCACTTTTTTTTCTTCTTTTTTTTTTTAATCCACTTTTTTTTTATAAAGATAAAAAGCTAAGCAAGAAACTTTACTTAGATATTGATGCATATTATACAAAAATATTTAAGTAAAGAAAAATTATTAAACAATTTTTCTTGTTTTGCTTTTTATCTTTATAAAATTATAAAATAAAAAAAATAAAAGCCTATTTAAATAATTTATTAAATTATAATTATCATTGAAAATTCCAAAATCTTACAAGTTATTAATTAAAATTAGCAAAAAACATCATAACATTTACAAAAATTCAAAATTCATTAATTTTCTTATTCCAATATTGCTGCTGTCAACTTTTAAAATTCATTAGCTAACATTTTATCTAGTTTGTTTGTCAACACAAAACTGCAGTAGAAGTTAATAAACTTACTTAGAAACATAATAAAACTGCATGAGAAGTTAATAAACTTACATTCTTGTTGATTTAAACGATCTCCAGTTTGTGTAAGAATGTGTTGCAAATCTTTGATTGATATAAGCCCAGTTTTATCTTTATCATACAGCCTAAATGCTTCATATATATCATTTTCCCATGTACGTTGCTTCTTCATCATAGGAATCATGTATTCAAGAAATTTTGGAAATGTAATTTTGTTTTTACCTAAAAGAAATTATGAATTTGAGTAAGTTAAAATTAAAAGCCTTTAAATAAATTATTTTTATAATTTACTATATTAACTATATTGTTATAATTTACTATAATTAACTATAAACTACAAACTTTTATTTAAATAAAATTTATTAACCTAAAGCAATACTAATTTCCTTGATTTCTCTTTCAGAGGGACATTGACTTAATGATCTCATAACAGTCTTCATTTCATCAATGGAAATAATTCCATCATTGTCTCGATCATATAAGTTGAAACATTCTTTAAACTCTAAAAACAATTTTTATATATTTATAAAGTAAAGATTATTCTAAGTTAAAAAAAACCTGAAATAATTTATGTTAAGTTTTCTTCTTCATTTTATTAATTTGTAGTCAATAAAAAAAGTTCAAATTGAAAGTTTTTATGCTACAACAACACACAGTTTTTGTGATGCAAGTAATATATGTAAAATAAAGTTGAATAAAGTCTCAAAACACTTGATTTTATTAATGTGAAGTTTTTTTTGTTCTTAATTTTTAGTGCTTTGTTATTAATATTTGTTTCTTAATTTCAAAATATTTTTTATTTAAGGCCTAATCTAGCAAAACTGTTTTAAAGTTCTATAAATCCTTTCAAATATTTTCTAAAATTTACAAAAAAAAATATAAAATTTTATTTAAAATATGTATACATACCATACTTCATTTAAAATATGTATACATACCATACTTCATTTAAAATATGTATACATACCATACTTCATTTAAAATACATACCAGCAATTTGATCAGCATCAATGTTATTACTCGACTAAAAATTCAAAAAATAATGAAACTTATTTAAAAAAATACTTTTTCATCAAAGAAAGATTTTTTATAAAACTTTTCTTATATATCTTATTTTTCCCATTATTTTTAGAGAGAAGTTCAATTACGTATCAATTACTCCATCAATTTATTTTAATAAAAAAATATATCTTTTAATTTTTTATGGGAAAAAAAAAATGCAAAAAAAATTGCAAAAAATAAAAAACAGCCAACAAGAATAGGAATGTGTGTGCATATATATATATATTCAGGCCTTTCAATAATAGAAGTGATCACTCCCCGCACATGAAACCCTGATATAAACAGTAAATTCAAAAAATATAAGAGCGATAAACAATACTCACTAACCAACTAATGAGAGTATAAAAATTGTTTTAAAAATTTGATTATATATAAAATATTTTTGATTAAAAATTTTTGTTCAAGAAATAACTTTTTTAATCATGCAGTCGTGTCATTGTTTGCAATCAAGCAGTCATTTCTGCCTATTGTTTGTAATCAAGCAGTCAGGATTGCATATTGTTAAAAAATAATTACAATTGCTATACACATATTTTTAATTGAGTTGCTTTTAATTTAAGTAAAACATTAACTTCTTACTTCAATTAAAAATTAAAATTATAGAATTTTAAATGCAGTTTTTAGTACATGTGCTACGAACTTGAACTTTGTATTTAGTAGTATAAACAACAATCATCAACTTTTGTTTGTTCTGAAAAAAAAATGCCAGCAGACCATTTTGTAGTATTTCCAGTATTTATCTAACAAAGCTGAAAACTCTTATTTCATGTCCTTTATTATATTTTGATTAGTACACACAACAATTTGATTTATTACAGAACTGAAGCTAGCAGCTTATTTATTTTATCTGTAGACTCTAGGTCTATTTAAAGAAATAAGATAAAGAGGTTTTAAAAAATCTCCTTATAACCAAAGTAAGTTATTTGCATCCAAACATAATCCTAAACTGCTTTATAAATATTTAAATTGTACAAAACCAATAGAAATGTTAATGAAAGCAATTAAAACACCTAAAAATGATTTATCTCATGATTTGTCTCAATAAATACTTTTAAGATGTCTTTGCTATTGAAGAAAGAGATCTACCAATAACTATTGAAGAAAGAGATCTACCAATCACTATTGAAGAAAGAGATCTACCAATTGCTATTGAAGAAAAAGATCTACCAATTGCTATTGAAGAAAGAGATCTAGTAACTTTTAATCTTGAATTAGCTAATGAGACCGAGTTTTAAAATGCTGAGCATGATGACTTAATTTTAAAGTTTTATCTAAACTCATATCACTTAAAGAAAATAATCTTTACTGATAGTCCTCAAAATTGCGATGTAGAGTTTATTGATAGTCCTCAAAAATTGTGATGTAGAGTTTATTGATAGTCCTCAAAATTGTGATGTAGAGTTTATTGAAAGTCCTCAAAATTGTTATGTAGAGTTTGCTCTATACTTATATCACTCACTATTATCTCTTATTTTTATGAAATCACTATAGACCAGTCTGCAAATTGTTACATTAGATTTATATGATTTAATCTACATTTATTATGTTAATAGAATTAAATTTTTAAATAATAATTTAAAACTATACAAATAATCTTATAAGTTTAATCAGAATTTTATGTTATATAGTTAAAAAGTTATATGTATATATATATATATATATATATATATATATATATATATATATATATATATATATATATATATATATATATATATATATATATATATATATATATATATATATACATATATCTAGAGCTTTTCATTACTACTTTTGGGTTTCTAACCAATGGAATTGATGTTTAATTAACATTTATAGATGAGTGGCTTTTGAGTGGCTTTTTTTCCTTAATGATTTCATTGCACCTTCTGCTTTTTAAAAGAAAATTTCTTAGAGAAATATGGCTCTGTTGATTATTAATTACTTTCTTTAATTTAGAAAAATTTTATTTAGCAGGGACTTAATGCCCTGTTAATTAAGGTGATTAAAACAATCTAACAGGATTTATCAAATAAATAAAATTCTTGTTTCAACTTTATAAACATTACACAAATATAGTTTAAGTTGAAAACAAAAGTTATTTATAGAAACAGTTTAAATTTTTCTTTAAATATAGTTTTAATAATAGACCTTATTGCCCTTTTATTGAGCAAAACAGTTTGGACATAAAAAAAGAAAGAGATAGGAGGTCGGAAATTCTAAGCAACTTGTCAGACAATGACAGATGCCTACAATTCAGTCATATGAAAGCAGATGTCTGCCAACCAGGCATCCAAGCATTATTTCAAGTACTTTCCATCACTAGCGCTCACAATTCTTCTGACTCAACTTCACTACTTCATGTATCGCTATCAACATTATTGTCAACTACAGCATCATTAACAAAATCATTATCTTTATCTTTAGCACCTGCAGAAAGACCACAGACCATATTGCCTACTTCACCCTCAGAAAAGTCCTCTGTTAGAGACTCTTTACTAAAAGAACTGCAGCCCGGATTTTCAAAAATTTATGGGCATGATAATTTGGCTAGAGTCAGGTTTCACTAAGGAGAAAGTTTAACAGGTAATGAATGTTTAAAGTGACTATAAGAAGAAGAAGAAGCATATAAGAAGCATATAAGAAGAAGAAGAAGCATCAAAAAAAGATAACACTGCGAGAAAAAAGAAATAATCTTCCTGCTGGAGTTAATAGGGAAAGTGATGAGGATAACAACACTGTGTGTCTAAATTGTGGTATGTGAGGTCAAGGAGAAGAATGGTGTGAGAAAAATGCGAGGAGAAGAATGGGTGTGCTGTGACTTATGTGATGTTTGGTACCATATTAAATGCACAAAAATTCCAGGTGGAGCTGATATTGAAGTCATGGACTGGATTTGTGAGAATTGCCTGTAAATAATGTAAAAATATATGTTTTATATACTGAAGCTTATTGCCATATTTTTTTTTTCACTAAACAACTTAAATTTTTTTTGAATAAAGCTTCTGTACATATAGAATAATATAGAAACAACAACAGTATGTGTTATCTATCACTTAAAAAAACTTCCAGCATAAATTCAATACTTATTCAATATTTACTTTTTTCAATGAGAGAAAAAAAAGTTCTTGAAAACATGGGGCTTAATGCCCCCTGTTACCCTATATAATCATACAAGTTTTATGTATTATCTAAACATGAATGTAAAAAAAACATGAGCTGTACAACTATTATATATTATACATAAATATGAATTTAAAAAATATAGATAAAATTAAAATATATATTAATATACCATGTCTTTTACCATTGCAGCAAAATCAAGTAACTGATACAATAACTTGATGCTATGCCGCTTAAGCAAAATATATAAAGTTTTTATTTTTCATAACACGAAAAAGGGCGCACCGTAAAAGCGTATTTAGTCGTTTCTATGGACAGTCGTTTCAGGGCCGGATTAGGATGGGGGGGTGGGGTAGGTGTATTAGTCAAAAATGGTTCCAATGAAAAATGTGGTTACAATCCTTATAAAAATATAATAACTTTATTTTATTTTTCTAATTCGTTTTAGAAACACCGTTTTCGGGTCTACGCGGGTGAAAATGGGGATTACTAATTCAAGGAAGGAATTACATTTTTTTGTACATTATATATATAATGTACAAAAAAATGTAATTCCTTCCTTGAATTAATAATCCCCATTTTCACCCGCGTAGACCCGAAAACGGTGTGGTATATATATATATAAAGGAAGTTGAATTGGCTAAGTTAAATGAAAAAAAAAATACTGTTTAAAGAACGGTTGTTTAAAAGATAATCAAAATAGCAGCATAATTTCGATCTCAAAATAGGTTTTGCGGCCATTTAATTAAAGAGCCAAAGCAGTAAAATTATTTAAAATCTAATTCGGCAAATGAAATATTTATAATACAATGTATCAAATATTTATAGCATTTGAAAAAATTTATTTATTGAACATTTCCAAATATCTTTTTTTTTAGTACAGAAAAAAAATAATTAAAATAAACTGTTTATGTCTAAGCCAACTAATAGCAAAATATAATTATTCCTACTTATTTTATTTATTGTTTTTATACTTTTTACTTTTTAATTTATTTGTTGGTTTACTCTTGTATAAAAATCTGATGAAAAGATCTTCTTCTTGATCTTTTGAAGATCTTCTTGATCTTTCTTTAGATTATTTATCACACATTTATTTATGTAAAAGTTTATTAAATTTTTTTTAAATTTTATCCTTGTTAAATGCTTATTTAAGGTTTTGACGACAAGATCTTCGCAATCTTTTTTCAGATACCTTGTATATATTTGTTATATTTTCTATTATTGTAAGTTTATATTATTATTTTTATTATTGGATATATGAAACTGTACAAATAACTAATGTGAACCGAAAAAAAAAAAAATAATACATTACGACAGTATTAGTATGGACAAAAAAGACCTATACTAGCATGACTTAATTGTAAGAAACTCACTTTTGAAAAAAGAATACATCAAAAATATTTTATTCAGCGAATGTCTTTATTCGTATACCATACAGTTATAAACTGTCTAATGTACGAATTACTTTAAGCAGTGGCGTCGCTTAGCTTGGTGTCACCCAGTGTGGTAAACTTTGGTGTCACTCCTCTAAATTTTCAATAAAAGGGCCGATAACACGGGTTACAAATTTCAAAACAACCGATAGTGATGCAAATATTTTTTAAAGTTCTTAAGTACCTCTGAGAATGGTTGTTAAAATTGATGGTGAATAAGAAAAAAAATGTATGGCAAAACCCAGTCACCTCTTCTCCAAGATTCTGCAGGCCCATTTGAATACGCTTCATTAGCGAATCGAAAGACATAACAATGGACGAGGTAGAACACGTAAAAAACCAAGTAACGAATCTTAGGGAAACAGGGTTGCCTAATCAAATTGGAAAAATAAACCATACCTTGCTTTTTACAATGGTAGATAGTAAAGTGTTGGTAAAGTGTGCAACGTTGCAACCAAGGCCGGCGCAATGGGTCTCATCAATGATTTTTTCATTCATTTAGTCGACAAATTCGATCCTTTTTTAAATAGTTAGTCGGCAAATGTAGACCCTTTCGACAAGTTAGACAGCAAATTTAGACAGTCAGTCAGCAAATGTTGTTATGGCAGTCGGCAAATTTTAAAAAACGAGAAACTTTTTTTATTTTATAAGTCGGAAAAGTTGTAATGGAACCCCTCCCCCCCACGTGACACTTACTCGCGCCGGCCCTGGTTACAACTGGTACTACATCTACTATGAGGTGCTTTTGTATTGATTTGCTTTTTTTTTAAATAAATTTATTAAAATTTTTTGATGTTTGTCCACATTTGTGGACAAGCATCACATGATGCTTGTCCACATTTGTGGACAAACATCACATGATGTTTGTCCACATTTGTGGACAAACATCACATGATGTTTGTCCAAATTTGTGGACAAACATCACATGATGTTTGTCCACATTTGTGGACAAACATCAAAAAATTTAAATAAATTTATTTAAAAAAAAAAGCAAATCAATACAAAAGCCCTCTCATTTGGACTCTCAATTCTTCATGCAAGGATCCACTTCTTTTAATCGCTTCTTCATTTAGCTTACAAAATACCTTTACAAAAGTGGCAAGCTTATCAGGCGAGGAAAAAAAAATTGTCAAAGAAGCGAAGAAGAAAATTTAAACATACAAAGAAAAATTTCTGCTTTAATAGATATACCTAAAGCAGGGCTTGAAAATATCAATGACGGCAATACGTCAACAAGTTCTCTTTCAAACCCGGAATTATCTTCACAAATAACTGATGTTAACTTAAATTTTATAAAACGTTTACACGTTATTCTTGAGACCATTTCAAGAGGATATAAAATTGATACTGTTAAATTCGACGGTTTTGTCATACAAATGCTCTACTGTGCGACGCATGCCCACTGGGATAAGACTTTTATTGTAACAACTTTTCCGCCATAAACTCTGAACAAAAAAAATTTAATTAAGCTGTCTTAAATTTATTAATATATAAAAAAAATTATAATTAAGCAATTATTACAACCAAACTGTTAAAATTTATAATTAAATAATTATTAATTAAATTAAAGACAACTGAATTAAAGGTTTTTTTTGTTAAGAATTTATTGCCGAAAAGTTGTTATAAGAAAAGTCTAATAGATAAAATTAACTTATTTGACATTCAACTCTCCGTTATACCCTATTCAGGCCTGATATATGTGCAATCTGATTTACTGATTTTGAAAAAGAGACATATACGCGTTTGTTAAACATTTATTTTTAAGGATGATACATTGAAAATCACAGATGTTTTGAGTCGTAAAGTTTTGTAAAAGTATAAGTACTATATGTATAAAATTTCATAGAAAAATCATAATAATTTGATTTTTTATACGATTATTCAGTTACACTTTCATTAGTCAATACGCTTTTTGCCATTTGTTTTGATTTTAAAAAAACTAGTTTGTTTTTATAACTCTAAGACATAAAAAAGACAACTGTTGTACCAAAACAGATGGTGAAACTTGACTATTCAAAATGGGTAAGAGTAAATCACATATTGCATTGGCTGCTTCAAATCGTGAGCTCAAATCTTCAATTATGATTTTTCAAAAGAGTTTTTTAATTTAACTAGAAATATCAATAGAATAACTTGATTTTTTCACATTAAGTTTCTATTTATTTTATCATTTAGCTAGAAAAATATATAAACAATTATCTAATTGCTTTTTAGAACTGTACCCAAATTACTTTCATTTATAAATTATATAAATTACTAAAACTTTTTAAGTTTGAAAATATTGTTTATTGGTTGTTATAACTAGCCCAGGTAATAATATCCAATTGTTATCCTATTTATATATAAGTTAAAATACCCTGCCAAACCTTTTTCTAAATTTCCACCAAGTACATACAAAACACATGTTTGTTAGATATACCTGTTAAATTGAAAAAAATACTGGTTATTATAATCTATAATTGGTAAAAAAAAAAATATTAAAAATTAACTTTTAACAGCAATAGATAGTAAATAATATTAGCTCTGGAAAAATGAAAATAAAGAGTTTTATATGTAATGATTTTTTCGTATAATCAATAAAATCAAGTTGTTGTTTTTTAATTTTTATCGGATACCTCAGATAATTTTGCTACAATAAATATAACTATTTACTATTAACTAAATCTTCAAGGCAACCCAACTAAAGGAATTTTAGGTTAAACAAAAATATATAATATGACAACTGACTCAGCCGATTTTCTTTCTAATAATTTTATTGTTTTTTCTTCATTACTTCTTTTCCATTAATTTGTTTTATTTTTACCACTTAATTTGATTTTTTTAAATCATTTTTTTTCAACTAATACTAAACACAAAGAGGGCCACAATCATTTGTGTTATTTTTGATGCAATAATCCACATTTATTTAGTTTTTTGACTTAAATACTTTATCTTGCTTGTAATGTCAGTGTTTATATGTAACTATACAAAAAGTTAATGTTCAGTAAACAAACAAATAAACTTCACTTCTTTTGTTAAACTTTTAAATATAGTTTTAATACTTAATTTTCATTTTTTTATATAAGTAAATGCAGCCAAACGTTTTCTAAATCTTCACAAGTGTTTAATGGTTTAAGGATGATATTTTATTAGAGCTAAGTAATAAAAAATATATCAAACAATATATGTAAACAAAACCTCCTCATAGTTTATGTATTCACATGGAACATGCAAGCTATTTTTGCAATCGTTACAAATTTTTCTTTTCAAAAAACTCTAATGTACAACTCTTTATAATCAAAAAATATAAATAAAGTTTTTCATCAAGAGTCTGGTAAAACTGCATGTATATACAGTTTTACCAGACTCTTGATACATATGCCTTTGGACCAGACTACTTTACCAGTAGTCTGGTACAAAGGCATATAAGCTTTGTATTTGAGTATCCTTCAAGATCAAGGACATTATATTTTACTAGAAACAAATTTATAGATCTTTTTACTATAGCATACACATTTTTTCCATTTCTGTAAATTAACAGCAGCTAAAATCCCCATCACTAAGAAAATTTTGAGATTTTTACCAGGTGAAAATTCTTTTGTACAAATAGATTTTGATACCTTTTAAATTCTTTGAAAAAATAAAATGAATTTCGTTTGTTGATAATAACGTAAGACTTGTAAAAATAAACTTAGATTATTATTCATTTGAAATCTGCAGTTAATTCCCGGTAAGCCGAATACCGTTAACTCAAACTTCTATTATCTCGAACTGTTTCATTTGGTCCTTTGAAATCGTCTAATTGATTACTATTAAAATTCTTTGTTTAAGTCGAACCTCGAATAACTCAAACTTCGTTTAATCAACCACTTTTTCGTCCCCTTTCAGCATATTTCTTCGGATAACTCGAACTTTTTGAATAGGAATTAAATATATTGACATCTTTTTTTAAAAAAAAGCACTTCATATAAAACTTGTTTGTCCGCGCAGCGGCCTTGTTTTTTAAGGTTCATGTTTTTTTTTATTATATTGCGTGAATATAATTCGTAACTTCTTTCGTTGAAATATTAATAATGGTATAAATTAAATGTATATACTTCACCATTAAATAAGGAAAAATAACCTTAACTTGAACTAATCTCATATCACCCAAAGTCAGACTTTACGGGAATTCGTGTAGGCCAAACATTCGTTAAGTCGAACCATTTTCCTTGGTCCCTTAAAGATTTGAGTTATCGAGTATAAACTGTATTTCGAAAACTTGCTTGTTTCGTTTTTAATTATATTTTTCAACAAAAATAAAGTACTTGTCTCTCTTTTAAAATTAGAGAATCAGATTGCTCATATTTCTGCCAATTCTGAGCCTGTATAGACCTTCAAAATATGCTCTCCGTGACCGGTTATCCGGTTCCTTTTTTACTTTATAAATTATTATATAATTTAATGAAAATTTGAAATTTTATTATAACCTTAAATTTCGAAAAAACTGGGAAAAATGTCACGGAATTACCATCTATGTTAGAGATTTCAACATTTACGTATTAATTTAGGTAAACCTGGGTGTCTAAGACAATAAAAAGACAATTTTTTTTCTTAAATTAAGAAGGTGTTAACTTTAGACTTTTTCTTTTGAAATAAATAAATGGGTAAAACTTCTAATAAGCTTTAAGTATGCGAAATAAGTGGGCATGTTAATTTTTTTTTGCTACTTAAAAGTATTATTTTTCTACCAATTATTAAAAAACATTAAAGAAAATAATAAATATGGAAATAAAGGTCGTTGTGGAATAAACTCATCTAGACCCGTATTTTACGGGTCCGAACAGCTAGTGTTACAATATTATTATATTTTATAATTAAAAAATTTTTTTTCGAGCAAATGGTACCAGAATCTCTGATGATAACAGTAATGCTACCACTGGTGGCAGTGTTAACATCAGTTAGATAATCTAGTGTTAAATATTTTCTGCTCTTACCGTAACGAAAAAATTAAATTTATACTTTAAAGACATATTCTGGGAAAAATTATTTTGATGTAAATAATAAAATTGTTTATTCGTATTTTTTTGTGCATATGGTCAAGGTTTTCAGGATTAGAAAAATTTACATCTTTAATAAACATTTCTAAACCAATGACTATAAATTGGTTACAACAAATAAATCAAATCTGATTGTGCTAAAATTGTCGCCAAAGAAACAATGATTGATGCCGTTAAAGAAATTTGTCAGTATTTTTCAAATTTTGTTGGTGCCAAGTAACTGATGAAATGAGTAAAACATTAGCTGACTGTCTGAATGCTGTTGTTAGTTTTATTGACAGACAATACAAGCGGTTATTTGACATTAGTTCTAATGACCAACTTATGAACCAGACTAAATCAGCAAGGCTTCATAACATTGATTCAGAAGAACTTATGGGCATGTTTTTGCGCTGCAAAGCAGAAAGCTCCCAATGCCACACTTTGTTTTCTTTCTTCAAAACTTCGTGCTTGCAAAAATAAAACAACTGCTCTGCTCTGCAATAAGCCTGCTGATATTCAAAACAAATTGATTGCATGGGCCGTCACTAATGCCATAAAAATCCGGTTTGCAAATATACAATTTCATAAAGAAATGATGTTAGAACTTATAAAGCGTATGGCAGACAAAATTCAAAAAAAGGAAGACAAAGAAAAGAGAAAAATAGAAAGAATTTTAAAAAATTGCATGCAGGATCAGATAAAAGATATGTTTCCATAACTAGAAAGTAATGCGATTTCGGATATTGAAGAAATTCTTGCTGGAGCTGCTATTGGAAGATATATTTGCTACATGTGGTTTAATAATGCTGCTAATTGCCAGGATATATATTATGGTAGACTTCTTAGTGTTAAAAAGAAGAACAGTGCTATATATATAGTTTCTTATTGGAAACTAAATGAGATTGAGGATGATGATGCTGTAGAGTATGAGATGAGCAAATATAAACTATCAGCTGACATCATAAGTGGTAATATGGTAATATCATAAAGGAGTAGTGTGTGGATTGATTTTAATAAGGGATATGTTATTTTGAATAATAATATAGTTTATTTAGTTTCATTAATAGATTTCATTTACAGTTGGTAAGTTTATTGTTTTTTTGTTTTTTTCTTATTTGTAAGAGGTTAAAAAGATTTATAATTCTTTCATTCATTATTTGTTTACATCAAATCAATTATTATTATTATAGTTGTAGCCGTAAATTTACAAAGAATGTACACATACAGCGAGCAGGGAAAACACCCCACTATAAACAACCAGTTTTATAAATATTTGTTCCAAACTTATTCCACAACCAGGAGTCTAGTCTATTTTTGAAGGAAAGTACAGTGGAGTACAAAGTTATTTGCTCTGGTAGTTCGTTCCAGTATTTTGCTGATCTATTATACTAATGATTATATCTAGAATGATAATTTATTACTTATTGAAATATTTTCTTTTTTAATTTTTGTTGCTTTTATATTTCAATCAAAAGTAGATATTATTGTGTCATATATTATAATATACCTTATATTATACTAGTATATTTTATATTAATAATGAGTATTTTTGTATTTCTATTTTTGTTCAATATTCCATAATTATCTTATATAGATGTTCATGTTTTAGCAACCTAGGATTCTTTCATTATTTTTCTTTGTTATTGAGCCTTTGAACATAATATATTATAACATAATATATTATCATAAGTTATTTGAACATAATATATTCAGAACTCTGCTGAATAACAGAGTAATAAATAAATCAATAAAAATGAGTTTAAAATATAATAAATTTATAAAATAAAGAAAATCTTATCTTTGCTAATAATGTCTACTAATATTATTGTTTAGCAAGTATCATGGTTATAAAATGTTCAAATTAAACTAGTTTAATTAGGCCTGTTAGTACACTTATATTACGATTTCTTCATTTTATTATTAGTTCATGTAATTTTTTCAAAATCGAATATGTGGAAAGGAGCTGTTTGGAATGAAGATTTACAAGAAGAAGTTGTTCCATCTAATTGGATTAGCGATAAAACTGTTTGTCGGCTTCCAGGTACCAAAGCATTGACTGCACTAAAATGCAGAGAAGATTTTGCTTAAGTTTATACAAATAAAAACAAAATTCTATTCAGGTATTACATCTATATATTACAATTATTATTTTTTAATTAATGTGGTAAGAAGAGTTATTTTGTTGATACAAAATATATAACTATTTGTATAACTATTTCAATTCCAAAAGAAAGCAAACAGTATTGTAAAAATTTTAAATTCACAACTACAGAAGAAAAATGTGATAATGAGAATGTTGACAAGTGGATGCAAGATTTGCACACAAGTGGAAACTTGGATGCAAATTTTCCACTTGTGTGGTTTGGATGGTTCTCCACAATATAATATATCTCCACAAGCATAATTTTAGAAATGGTTTTTTAAAAAAAGAGGACTTTAGAGGATTTTAGAGGATACCCTGATTATAAATGAGGTAAGAGTCCACCCTGATTATAAATGTGGACACCCTGATTATAAATGAGGTAAGTATCAGGTTTACTTTATGTTTTTTACAGATAAATCAATTACAGTTAATTGGTGGAGCGTCTTCTAAAGATAGAATACACAAAATTATGATGAGGTAATCATAAACAGTATTGGACTCTTACCTCATTTATAATCAGGGTGTCCACATTTATAATCAGGGTGGACTCTTACCTCATTCATAATCAGGGTATCCTCTAAAATCCTTTAAAGTCCTCTTTTTTTAAAAACCATTTCTAAAATCCTCTATTATCCTCTAAAAAGGTAAAAATTTGATCAAAGCTCCTCATTAACTCCTCTTTTTTAATTTTTGATGGAAGTATGTTCAAAATACCCATTCTTGGTCTGCAAAACTGGTTAACGCCTTAAAGTGCATGGAATTGTAAAAAATTGCTTTAGCAAATACATGCTACTTAACATAAAAAATGGCATTATTTGATCCCTGTCCAAGCCCCATAAGTGTATAAACATGGACGTTAAACCATTAATAAATGGCTACATAAAATTTCTTAAAAAAAATTTATGTGGCCACCCCGAAAATTATTTTTCAATGCTAGAAATGTTTTATATTTTGATTATTAATTTATTTTGAAAAAAGGTTGTTATATTTAAATTAAATATTTGAAAAAGTTATTAATAACCAACTATATGGCCTCTATAGTTATATGGCCTACACGGATATGAAAGGCAAAGGTGGAAAAATATGTTTTAAGAACACTAATCTATATGGCGTTGAAAAAGATATACCTTCGTAAGTTGTAACACTTCTCCATTTGTTATACATTTTTTAAATCTTTCTTTTTTGAATTTTTTTTATATATATTTTTTTATTTACAGTTTCTTCTATTGTATTCAATGGACCAAAAGAAACCTCGGTTAATGGAACATTGTTTGATTTATCTAAATTACGCTCTATTTCAAAAAGGTGATGGAAAAGAGAAGAAATTTGTGTAGATTTTATTTAATTATATATAAATATATGTAATATTTAAATATATTTTTCAATAAAACAAGTTTTATCTCTTTCTTTAATCATACCTAGCTATTTTAATTAAACTAAACTGAAAAAGTTTTAAATAGTCCAAGTATAGACTATGAATAGATTTAATATCCCTAATATATCTTGATAATGTACAGCAATAGTAATGCATAGTACGTTTTGATGTTGATCACATTTTGACGCACATAGCACGTTTACATACATATATGCATTTTGACATACATAGCACGTTTTGATGGTAAAAAAGTGTTTTACAGTCGTTTTAACATTGATAAATCAACGTTAAAAAAAACTATCATTTTAAACGTCGTATTAACGTAAATTCAACGTTATTGTAACGTTTTTTCGCGTCGAATCAACGTTGATATAACGTTTGAACCTAACGTTGATTTAACGTTGAAAAAAACTTTCATTCTAAACGTTAAATCAACGTAAATTCAACGTTAAGTTTCAATGATATTTCAACGTTATTTCAACGTTATTTGCCGGCTGGGTTGCCGGCATAAATGCTGAGATGTTAGTGTTAAGTAATTTATATCAATCACTATACCCTGAAATCGCTATTTCTTTTTTCATTATTGTTTATATATAACATCTATTCTATTTTAGGTAACAAACATTGAAAGATTTATTTGGTTCGATTGGTGTTTCTGTTTTAAGGGCACAATGTGTTAAACATCAGAAGTTAAGTTATTTTGATTTGTTTTTAACTTAAACTTTCTTTTCCATTATTTTAATTAAGATTGTTCAGTAATTTTAAAAATCTAATACATTTTATCTATCATTGCAAGGTTTTAACTCGTAGCATGAAAGCTGAAAAATAGATTTTTGCTTCAACGAATGCTAATCTTTAACAAGTAAACGTTAAAGCAGTAAGATTATACTTATAGATTAGATTATGCAGTAATAACAGTTACATATTTATTTTCCAGGACATATGGTTTTTCTATTTAAAATGATTGTGTTATGGTAACATGTGTTTATTCAGAGATCCATTTTTTTTTAGCTGTCATTGCACTGTGTTAACTGTTGTGGTAGAATCGACTTTTTCTAACTTTGGATGTACTTCAAAACTAGGCTATTTTTATAGCCACTAATATGTTAAAAACATTACTAAGCAAATGGGAATACTATCATTTAGTTTTAATCTTTTATTTACGAAATATATTTTAAAAGAAGTAACCTTTTTTTTCGACAGGATGTGAGTCTGTATGTGAGTGAGTAAAATAATCAAAAATGTTTTATTAAAGTTCTTTTATTATTGGCTCTAACTGAAAAAAATCGTGTAGTTTGCTTAATAATAATAGCACGTTGATCGAAAACAAACCTTGCATTCCCCAAAATTTGTTTGATATTACTTTACTCATGTGGTTTTCCGACTTGATCCTTAAGTCATTACCAGTGCGAAAAATATGTATAAATATAGAGGCTATTAAATTTTTTAAGTGTCTTTATATTTAGTTCTTTATATATGTAAAATAATTTATATGTTTTTGTTAAAAAAAAAATTTATTCGTCATCAAAAATAATATATTTATTTAAATAAGCAATATTATTTATTTTTTGTTAAAGTTGCGTTAAATTAAAATTTAAAGAAAACAAAATAATGCGCAATTTAAAAATAGAAGTTATTATTACAAAAGTACCGTTAGCCGGACGCTAATTTCTCTTGTTGGTTGCATTTTGCTTAAGCAATCTTTGTAATAAAATTTTGTTACTTAAATGGGCATAACTTTTTGTAGAACTTTTTGTTTTTTATGAAATTTTCACCATTGTAATACTAATTTAAAGCTCTTTTTAATAATATATAATATTTACATATAAAAATATTTAAAAAATTTTACACAGAAACGAATTTAAGGTGGCTCAACCCTCTTAAAAATGTAAAAAAAAAAAAAAAAAATCAAATTTTTTTTTATTGCTTCTTTATCTAGTTTAAGCATTGCAGATTCCAAAAATATGTCATTTGAGATAAGTTATACGTTCCATCATAAAGAAATTTACATTTTTATGGTGTAGGGTTAAAAATGTTATCCATAGCAACACCTTAGCAACCGTGTTAGCTTTGTTTTATCTGCCCATTTTTTGACAAAAAACTTATAATTTTGAACAACAAAATGCATTTTTTACTTTGTCTACTTTGTTTTACGGCATTCTGTTATTTACAAGTTATAGTTTTCATTTTAAAGATGACATTTAGTTAACAAGAAGTAATGTTGTTTATGTTGTATAGTAGTCAACACAGTGGCTTTATCCAATATTTTTTATCTATCTTAATAATACAAATAACTGCACTTATTCTTTATATGTTTATAGAGTGATTAAATATGGGTAATAATAAAAATAAAATAAGATTAATCAGAAAAAGACAGTTTTCATCTAACAGATATACATGTGCTACAAAAATCAAATTGATAAACCAATAGTAAAGGAAGCTGTTTCATCATCAAAAATTAGTTTAGATAATTCACTTTTAACTGTTGAAAAAGAAGATTCTAACTTCTTTATAATAATTCACTTTGGAGTACTGCAAAGTTGTCTTCAACTTTTGAGTAGATGCCTAGAATGTGGCGACAAGGTCACTGTCAGTCTTGACCAAATAAAAAAATTAGGACTTTCGCATAACATTAAACTAGAATGTATATCTTGTGATTGGAGTTATAATTTTTACTCATCTCCTGCAATAAAAAATAAACACATTCAAGAAGTCAATGTACGTGCTGTAATGAGTTTTCGCGAAATTGGTTGTGGACATGAAGCTTTAAAGACATTTGCTGGATGTATGAATATGCCACCTCCAATGACTTTTAATTCATATAAAAACATTAATAATCTTTTACATAATGTTTATGACTCTGCTTCATCTAAATGTATGAAAAAAGCTGCAGACGAGATTAGAACTTCTGCAAATACTGGTGCTTCAATACATCAACTTCCAGTTGATTGTGATATCAGCTTAGATGGAACATGGCAGAAGCGAGGATATTCTTCTTTAAATGGTGTTGTTTCAGCTATCTCCAAAGACAATAAAAAAGTTTTAGATGTTCATGTTATGTCTAAGTTCTGTAAGAGTTGTGCTGTCTGGAAGAAGAAAAAAAATACTCTTGAATATGAACATTGGAAAGCAAATCACCGTTGTGATATTAACCACTCAAAATCGTCCGGAGCAATGGAATCCGCGGGAGCTATAGAAATATTTCACTCATCAGTTGAAAAATATGGTTTAAGATACGCACACTACATAGGTGATGGAGATACTGTCTCATTTAATGATGTAGTACAGTCTAAACCATATGGTGATGAGTTGATTCCCATTAAATGGGAATGTATTGGCCACATTCAAAAGCGCCTTGGGGCACGCCTGCGCAATAAAAGAAAAGAGTTAAAAGGTAAATTGCTCTCTGATGGAAAAAAAATTAATGGTAGGGGTAGGTTAACAGATTTAGCAATTAACACTTTGCAAAACTTTTATGGGATGGCCATAAGGCAGAATAAAGAACTACCCCTAATGAGGCGTGCAGTTGGTGCAGTTTTATATCATTGTTCTGACATAAATTCTGAAAGTCGCCATTTGTTTTGCCCTCGAACAACAAAGAGCTGGTGTAAATGGCAAAAAGATAAACTTGAAGGTACAAATACCTACAAAGCACATTTAAATTTGCCTCTGGCTATAAAAAAAGAAATTGAAGGCATCTTTAAAGATCTTGGCTCTGAAGATCTTCTGAAAAAGTGTTTACATGGGTTTACCCAAAACCCAAATGAAGCTTTAAACCAATTAATTTGGAATAAGTGCCCAAAGTCTCGTTTTGTGTCAAGAACTGTTTTAGAGATAGGAGTATATTCTGCTATCATAAATTATAATGAAGGTGTTATAGGACTTAATCGTGTATTTAAACTATTAAATTTGACTCCTGGGAAATACTTTTTTTTTTATGCAACAAAAAAGGACAGTACTCGTATCAAACAAGTTAATAGTAAAATGAGCGAAAAAAAGAAAAAACAGAGGAAAAGTATGAGTGCATTTAAAAAAGGATTCTTTGACAAAGAAAAAGAGACAGAGGGTGAAACTTATAGTTCTGGGGCACACTAGTTTCATGTTTGTATACTATTTATTTTATTTTTCATTTTGTTTTTCATTTTTCTCACAAATAAGTTTTTGTTACGTTCACTTAAATTCAAACAACAGTTTTTAGTACTTCTGTTTAACCGATTGACTTGAAATTTTCACAGACTTTTTTTTAATATTGGAACTAGGTTCTGAACTAAAAACAACTATTTAGAACAAATGAATCTTGTATAATCGCACTTTGATTTGCTAAAATGACCTTATTTTTCAATGCTCAAAAATAATTGTCAGCCATTATGGATTGGTACATTTTCAAATTTTGATTTTAGTTCAGAACCTTGTTTACTACTTTACCTTTATGCTGTCAAAATTTGGTTCAAATATTATTTACAGATTTGAGAAACTAATGTTTAAAATTTGATACTTTTTTAATAATTTTTGCTGACACAGCTTTTTTTTTTCAGCATTTTTAAAAACTTTTTGTCAAATTTTTTTTTTCATTAAATATATCAACAGTAAACTTAGTGCAAAGACATTTTTTTTTAATTGTTAAAGAATTTAGAAAAAAAAGGGTAGAGCCACCTTAAGTACAGAAACGAATCGAATTTTGAAAAATTGTGAAAGGAAGTGGAGGCAAAAGCAAACAAATGCTATATATATGAATTTTTAAACATTTTAGTTTACATTCCCCAGTGGGCACAGGTACGTTTTGCAAACATTTTTTGAACGTTTTATGGTTGCTTGAAGGACGTTTGTAAAAATAAAATTTTCAAAAAACGTTCAAATAACGTTTTAATAGGTCATTTAATTTCGTATTTTACGGGACCTTAAAAAAACGTTTAGAAAACCTTTTATCCAAAACCGAAAACGGCGCAATGCGAATGTGCAACTTTACTTAAATATGGCGTATTTTTCAAGTTTATCTACGAATTCATACGA